TTGAGCCCCTCGGCTGCTGGCTGTCCCCCCAGCCACGCCGGCAGACGTGAACCATTTAATCAGCACGCCTGCGGCTCCTTCTAAGACCCCCGGATTTAACCATGAGACCTTCCCCTAATCCCCTCATCTCCTCTCATTTACCGTCGTTATTAGTATCCATCTGGCGGAAGATTTTCTCCGTTCTTTTCTCCGGAGTCGATTCATCTTCGGGCATGTTCATCACAGAGGAGACCATTTTGTAAATGGCCTGGAAGAGGGAGATGGGCATGAGGGTGGGTGCAAGGTGGGCACCCGCCATCGCCCACCCGAGATGGGGGACAGAGCTCTGGGCTTCTGTTTAACACCCTCCCCAGGTGATGGGGCTGTGAGGAGCTTTATCTCCCAGCACAGCTGGGGTGGATGCAAGCAGTAGCCCCAAGGAAGCAGCGAGGCTGCTGGAGGTGGATGGGAGCTGCTCCTGTAGGGAGGAGACACCCACAGAGATGTCACCACAATGGTCTCACAAGTCACTTTCCAATGCCACTGGGATGAGGTCAGGGCAAGGAGAGCATCTCCTGTCCACGTCTATGTCTGCTGGCCACACATCCCTCTGTCCTGAGGTGCTTGGGGATGGCTGCTGTGCAGCCAGCCCTCCCCAGGAGCATGGTGAGTGGGGCCAGTGGGAAAAGCCCCGGGATAGGATGTCAAAGGGATGTCCCTAGGACAGGGTGTCAAAGGGATGTCCCCAGGACAGGGAAGGACCAGGGGATGCCTGAGGTAGACTGATCCCTGCAGCTCCCAGCTCCCAACAGGCTCTATCCCAGGCACTGTATGGGAGTAACACAGGGTGTGTGTCCCCAACCACCCACATCCCAGGAGGGGACAGCCACCATCACACCAAGGTGACACTCAGGACCACATACTAAGAGCCGCAGCGGGGTGAGGGAGTCCGGTACCTGCACAATCTCCAGCATCTCCTCCCGGCTGATGTAGCCGTTGCCATCCAGGTCGTACATGCTGAAGGCCCACATGAGCTTCTGGTCCAGCTTCCCGCGGGAGGTGACGCTCAGGGCGATGATGAACTCTCGGAAGTCGATGGTGCCGTCGCCGTTGGTGTCGAAGGTGCGGAAGACGTGCTCAGCAAACTTGGAGGCATCACCGTAGGGGAAGAAGTTGGCGTAGATCTTCTTGAACTCCTCCACGTTGAGGATACCAGAGGGACAGTCCTTCAGGAAACCTTTGTACCAACCCTGCAGCTCCAGGTCGGAGAACTCAGTGTTTTCCCGCAGATCCTGGAGCATCTCTGGCCGCAGTTTGCTGTTCTGCTTCCCCATGGTGCTGGGACACACCGGCCGGCCCGGGGGACGAGCGCTGCAGTGGGGCAGATGCCTGACCAGGCTTGGGGCGGGGGTGTCCCTCTGTGCTACAGGAGGGGAGAGGGATGGGGCAGCGCTCCCTGGCAGCCCCCGGACACCCGGGCAGACACCGATGTGACCCCCTCCATCCCCACTGTCCTCTCTGAGCCCTCAGAGCCAACCCCGAGGACTATCCAGTGTTGGGCAGCGCCAGCCCCCTGGCATTTGCGTAATAAACCTTTATGGCTCATTTGCATAATATATAGGGGATATATAGCTGGCATCAGGAGGGCAGAGGAGGGGAAGGAGCAGGGTTCGGCCCCCCCGGGGGCTG